GAAATAATTTCAAGACATTGATGACAAACCGGTATTATAAAAAAACCCAAACTGAAGATGATGGAAGCGAGAAGACTTCGCAATGCTTAAACTCTAATGACTTTCGCTCAAACAATAAAGCCAAAAAGTCAACAAAAGATTGCTCAATTTGTTCCCGCTCAAAAATAATTTTTTAGCTTCGAAGACTAAAAAACTGTTGATTATCGAAGCCAATAGGATCAACGAGTGTTTTAACACAAGCAATCGCCATCACTATGCATCGCAAACAGAAATTTTTTGAAAAAAGGCGCCCACGCTGTTCCCATGCCTAAATTCCGTATCGAGTAGTAAAAGGAAGCTAGGATCTTTATTAAAACTCCAGGAAAATTTCATCGAAAATGTAGATAAAAGCCACAATCAATTTTTCTATACACCTGATATAACAATCGTTTTGTGCGATAAACTCATAAATTTTTTTTTCGCTTCAAAATCAATTCTTGTTGCTGGGGCGTAACTTCAGTAGCAACAATAAACATGCTATTTAACTCGGGAAAGCGCCAGCTGACGGTTCTCACGCGAAAGCCGTGAAATCTCCTCGCCCAACGTGTCAATATTTTTCTGTAAGTAAAAATTACATTTTTTTAGTTTACTAATGGTGAATTTACTACCAGCACCACAGCTTCGCCTTACCGAAATTTGCCTGCAAATGAAGCTCCTAAAAATTAACTTTCCCATACTATCAATTCTGCCACCGGGAATGCCACTAATCCCAGCGAAGCAAAAACCAAAAAGCCCCTAGCCTCACTGTGATAAATATTAGCCAAAAATGTCAAATTTAAAAAGACCCTCACATGCAAGTTTATTTTTGCTATAAACACCCCATTTCATGTTTTTAGCAGCTCTTTTGTATGATTTAATATACTTTACAGCAGCTAGTTACGAACAGAGCAATAAATCTTTGGTTTCCCAAAAGCTCTCCGGTCATTACCTCTAATGCTGATACACAGAGAGTCAGTGCAGTATACCGTTGTGTTTTGGAAATCGGCATGCCGTACCGAAATATCGTAATGGGATTTGTGTAAACATTAATAAAACCTACTTTGAGCATAATGTTCTTGTGAAGAGCATCTTCAAGCACAGCTTGCAGGCGTGAGTTCACCTCCGCTGGAAATTCGTGCTCCAATTTTTTATCGGCACCATTCGTACCGCTCAGGAACAGGTTGCGCATTAATGAGGACGGCGAGGAATCAACGCCAACGCGACGATACATCTGAATATAAACTGCCTCAAAGAAGCATGAAAACACCAGCACAGCGACAAACACATTGCGGCATGCCCTGGACATACTTTTAATATTTTACAAAATTTGACACTAACTGCTCGCTAGATGCAAACGGTTTTACATTTCTTATCCTTCGAGCGGCCGAGGAATCGCTGGAAAGATTGGAAGCCTGGAAGTAGTTCACTTTGGGAGGATATGCAAAAAATGGCATATACCATCGGTGGTTGGAAGCAAGATGCGCCACAGCTCCGATGCTGGGTGCATGTTTAGTTCCGCCCGGGAAGTTAACATCATTAAAATCCGAATCTCTTTTCGCTGTCAGATAAAAAAAAAAAAAAGAGAAGCATTCTTTATCAATCTGAATGTCGAACGATCGCACAAATGCAACGAATAACGAGCATGCAAGCAATCAAAGACAACACCACGACGACGGCAACACTGGATTTTCCCTCTCATTAATGTCATCTTCGATCGCTGAGAACTATCATAAGTTAAAGGGCCATGCAAAATGAAAATTTTTTAAAGGCGCTTCAATTCATCCCCGTTATGCATGGGGTCACTCACAAGTACACAAAAATCAACTTACTTCGCAATTTTCGAGCAGCTATAAGCAGATTATACATAGAATACAAAAAACGTCGGTGCGCCCCAAAAAGCATGGAAAATACCACATGGGTAACATTCACTGGGAAGTCGGAACACCCAACCTAACAAGCACAGCCAAAAGTTTGGATGTAAGCAGAAATGAATATGACTACTGTAGTGCAAAACCCTTAACATTCATTTAAACATTATGCATGGCAAAGGCATTGCCAATTAAAAAGATATCACGGCTCTGGACTACAAAACAGTTTTCCTCCTTCTCAACTCACCCTAAGAATTTCCGGACTGTGACATGATTTCCTCTCCCCTCCCTGCGCCCCTTGCATAAAAAACGCCAACCGCAGGATGAACTGGCAAGTAAAAAAGAATTTCAAGCAGTAAAAAAAAACTAATTCCCAGCCTGCCTAATTTCCCGTGTCTTTTCATTAATATTTACTCAAGTATGACTTTCAACAAGTTTAAAAAAAAATTAAAAGCGGCGCGCGCCCCAAGGTAGCTGGTGCGACCATGCGTTTTGTGCAACTCTGTCCAGCGAATGGTTGTGCAATTCTGTCCGACGGACACTTCCACAGCCCTGCCCTCGTGCAACTTCGTTTGCTGACGCTTGCGCAACTTTGCTCAGAGGAATCTTGCTGTTAAAAGTAGTAACTGAATTACTGTTTGGTATGTTGCATGTTAATTTTGGCGCTAAAACTTTACTTTCTGTGGTTATTGCTTTTGGTGCCAATGTTTTTGCATGCCCATATCGGAGACTCAGACGCGCGCGAAGACTGAATTTATACGCAGGCAGGGGCATTATTCTGAAATTTTAGTCTCCAAGCTTTCCTAATTCTCGAGTTAGGGCACCAAAAATTCCGCGTATCTTTACGTGACGTCTAGGCATTCGCGGTGGAGGGGATCATAAGCAGGCAGGGGACACTCTCCCAATGTGTAAGTTTCCTAACTTTTCTGGCTCCTAGTTAATAATTTTCGCGCCAAAACTCTCGCGCGTCCGTACAAGAGACCTAGAAGCAATTAAAGGCTGGGTTTAATTTTTCTGGGGTCAGACACGGACAGAGAACACTGTCCTAAAATTTCAGCTTCCTAGCTTTTGTGGTTCCAATTCAATGATTTTGACGTCAAAAATTTAATGTGATTGTGTGGAGGAATTAGGCATGCGCGCGGACTGAATTTATAGGTGGGCAGGAGCATTATCCTAAAATTTCAGCCTCCTAGCTTTTGTGGCTCCTTAGTTACTAATATTGTCCCATAACTGAGAAATAGGTGCGCGCAGGGACTGAATTTATATGACGACAGGAGCGTTACTCTGAAGCTTCCTAGATTTCATGGTTTCCGGGCAGCCGAAAATTTCATGTGTCCCTAAATGAGATCTAGTAAGAGGCCCCTCTCTCCCTTAAAATCTCAGCTCGCCAGATTCTTTGGTTCCCGAGTTGAAACCCCCTGATAAAATGCGCTCGGAAAACACACAAAAGCATAAAAATATAGATAGGGTCTCCATAATATGTGTTTTTCGCAACTGTTGCAGTACAAAAAGCATAAAAATTGAGCTGATCCAACAGCTAACCTTATTCAGGTCACTTTCTGGCAGCAATAAAGCCGCCTCTTCTCGCAGTGCATAATTCTGGATGATCCTAAAGACATATTATCACAAAAGTCCGAGAAAAAGACTTACCAAAAGCAACAATAAGGGGTGAGAAATATTGCACCAAAAACAATTTTGTGTCAAACCTAAATATAACAAAGAAGGAAGTGTTTTCGAGAATCTGATTTTCACCAAGCAAAGACTTAAACTCAATGAATCATTTCTTTTTGAAATTCGTGCTAATGACTTTTTTTTACTTATAAAAAACAGGTTTCTTCACCGACGTTAGTATGTGCTCTGTAGCTTTCATTGTTTTCCTGTAAAATCAATCGCTTTTTGTGAGTTACCTTCTCCCACCTCACTGAGACCGAAATTTTTTAGATAACGAAAAACGATTAAAATATCTGCTCACTTAGTTTTCTTGAGTAATTCCTGCGTGCACTGTCGGACGTGCTCTTCCAAGAATTCAATTTTATCCTGGCGTCGAGCCAACTGCCGCTGCAGTTTTACAATCTTCTCAACCATTTGCTGATGGGCGTGACCTCAAACAGTTGATATGGAAAAAGTTAATGTTTCCGGGCGCTACGCGCGGACATAACTCTGCACGTTTTTTTTTCTCTTTTAAATTTCGCAAGTGTTTGACTGTGGAGCATTCGAAATCGAACAATGCAGAACGGTCCGGCTTAGAGATAACTGGCAATTTTTATTCGCACACCCACAAAAACGATGAAAGGAAGAGTTCGGTACAATTAAGTAGATTTTCAAATAAAATTCAGAACAAAGGATATAAAAGGAAAAAACTGAAGCACAATGCCTACTTGTTTCATCTGTTGGTAGTGAAATGATGGTTGACTGCTGAGGTTCCCCGTGACGGATGTCTATACGCGTCGGAGGAGGAGGAGGAGGAGCAGGATTGGTAGGCAGATCACCTGATGATGCTACAGATGATGCTCCCGACCTGCATGAGACGTATATTTCTGAAAGCAGCAAATTCATTATAAAATTGTCATAAAATTTTGTGGCGGAAAGAAATTATTCTTTTTCTTTTCAACATAAAAAGCATTAAAGTGCAATACAAATTTCTTTTTGAGTCAAAACAAATTTTTTTTTTTTGAGAACTAACGCAAAATTACCACTGCAGTGCGCAGAAGGAGGCAGCGTATCCTCGACAACTGCAGTCGGCGGTGATGGATTTGAATTTTGCAGCTGCAGTTTGCGCAAATATTGCAGCTCAGCACGGAGTTCCTGAAAAACACATGAAGAGTGATGAAAGTTACATAAGTAAGAAGAGTGAGTGAAACAGCGAAAGTGATGCACACCTTCAGGGTGCTGGCATTTTTCTTCTTCACTACCTCCAACTCACCGCGCAGCTCGCTTATTACCAAATTCAGTTCCTTCTCTGAAATAAAATGTAATTTTTTATCAATATCGCTTCAGAAACACCATTCAGATGAGCGCCCGCCAAATTCTGCGACGCAAACAGAGCTGTTGTCCCACCGGCTATGGTCACAGATACGGTGGTACAAAAAGAATGTTTGGACCTGTTAGCAATGCTCAGTAACACAAATGAGCGCTTTCGTTTTGCATTTCATTTTTATGGAAACATTCAGTAACGCGACTCAACACCGCTAGTGATGGTCACCTCTTCCGATAAATGTTTCAAAAGCAAAGCGATGGCAGTGGTCAGCCATGCATCACAATCGCTAAATTTTTCAAAAAACCACCAATAGAAAATGTAAATTTATTAGATAACATGACTAGATGATCCGCCGGCAATGCAGAAGGCGACTAAAATAAACGTACCGACTAAACTGGCCTTCAACCACAACAGGCCCAGTGTATTCACACTGGATCTCACTATTTCACATTAGGATCGGGTATCCTTAAATAACCGACATATTACAAAAAAATTCTTGTACAATTCCTCCAGTAAACGATGATTATTGTGAAGCGCAAAAAAACGCTAGTGATGAGCAGAATGACCACATAACGAAAATAACAGTATGGACCGAAACGTCTTATCTCGCTCTAACCTTCTCTAATCTACACTACTCTTTTCTCCTGAACTCCTTCACACCTTGCCATCTGCACTTCCGGGGTCAACCTGAATGCTGCAATCTGCTGAGCTCATGATGTAGTCGGAAAATCTGTGAAAAAAAAAAAAAAAAACATCTAATGGGTGACCAACCGAAGTGCGAAATAAGCATTACAAGACAAAAAAGAAAGAAAAATACGCAGTGTTTCAAGCATACGTCACTGATGTGTCGAAGAAAACAGTTTTGATTCAATAAACTTGCTCAGAGTAGAATAACAAAACCTTTTGTGTTGCTATCAATGATCTGCTGTTTTAGCATCCCAACTTTCACATCATTATCAATTTTGAGCAAATGCAGTTCTCCTTCCAGTTCCATCGTGCGCCCTTCATACGTTGACAGCGATGACTCCAAAGTTTTTACTTGTTTAGCCAACTCCAAATTCTACAAAATAAAAGAATTGAAGAGGAGGGCCGTTACTGGGCTAAGCCCCACTTTTTTTTTCTAACGATACAGCGGACCGGCAAGTATGCAACCTTGGTTTCCAGCATCTCTTGTTGCGAAGTTAACGAAGAATTCTTGTCTGTTAAATGGTTTGTGATTTCGAGCATCCGTTCCGCTTGTTTTCGACACTCCGCTGCCTCTAATTCTGCCTGGTCACGATCCGCTTTCGCTTCGGCCGCAGCTTTTTCGGCTATCTTCGCGCGATTGAGACTGCTAAAGTACTACTGTTACTTTATTATCATTATTCTTATTAATGCTACTGCCATTATTACTTCAAAGAAAATTTTGCCCACAAACTAGGCTGGGTTTCGAAAGAAAATCTAGCATTTTCAAGCGGAAACAGTACTCCAGCAAGAAATCAGACACTGCTAATTTTGTCGCAAAATGAGTCTCAATTTTTATTTCTTACTATGACTACAAAATAGCAAAAAGGATTTCTGCAGAATGAGAACATCCAGAACACAGCAAGTCTACACACCTTGAAAATGGCATAACCAAAACAGGCAACAGAAATATACCTCTTTACTTGTGCTTGTATTTGCTCCAGATAGCGAAGTTTCTCGAGATCGTCTTCATGAGTCTTGCGTGCCAGAGCCAATTTCTCACTCAAATCGCAATAATCTGCTCGTAGTTCATCATTTGCATGCATATTCTTGTCAACATCTTTCTCGAGAATTTGTTTCACAGACCTGCAACGAAATTCTCTTTCTCATTAAACTGCTCAATGGTCGTTCGGCGAACTCATCAAACAGCTGCGCAGGTACATGTATGATAAGTCGCAGTTTAAACTGTTCTGATAAGGATGACAAGGATTTCCACTGTTTCGACTAATCTTAACAATTTGTCTATTCATCCTATATCATTCTCTTCTTCTCTTCTAAACTATCTATGTCCCCAATTACACAGCGAAATATGGCACTGTATTGATGATTCCCACTCCATTTTGCACCAGTTTAGCCGTCTGTGTTTACAGTTCAGGGTTGAAACACAGAAGTCACCCAGTGCAGATACCGGTTAGCTTAAATGAGGTTGTAAAATTTGGCTTCTTTTCAGAATATTAAATGAGCATATTCAACTATTCTATTCCTCTCTTCTCTTCCAACCCCTATTTTATTTCATTTATTATGTCGCTGCACTTTGCCAGCAGTAATGCTACTCTTTCCGATACCTACATTACCTGGTGGTCAGACTGCTAGCATCCTGGCGTTCACTTCTTTTCCTGAAGGGATTTCAGCAGCAGCACATAGGCTCTTCCGACAGAAGCGCATTGGCAAGTCTTTGCTGATTCAAGATTTAATTTTGCCTGTTCAGCAGCACTACCTTAGCCGCACACTGCCACTACCAAGACCATGATGAGGTACCTCATCGACTAGTAGAAGCAGGCAAGCAGACAGTAGCAAATTAAGTGCTGCAGAAAATTCGAAGATAGAAACAGTGAATATCCCCGGCTAGGAGACTGGAAGAGGACGGAGGCGTGAAATCTTCTATGTATTAAAATATGCAGTATGTTTGGCATTATTGGCCTACCATGGAGAGGAACACAATCATTCGATAATGAAAAACCGGAAGTGTCATTTAGACCTCCCAAATAAGCAAGCGTGTATGGGTAGTAACTTGGTAGCCTGTCTGTGTTTCATCCCTGAGCTGTAAACAAAGACGATAGAACCGGTGCGAAATGAGGCGGGAATCATCAGTACAGCGCCCCATTTCATCATGTTAAAAGGGACATATTGATTATCTGAGGAAGATGGAGAGGAAGGACATAAGGATGAGTGTAAAAGGAAAACTAATCATCCCAAATCTGTTCAGGTTGCCTGATAGATGTCATGTGCTTCATTTGTCCTATGTTTCGGAATCTTAAGTGGACTAGAATGAGCGGATTCCTCAGGAATGAGTGGGATAGGTCAGAAGGAAGAGGAATAATAACAACCAATGTGGCCAACTATAAATGATAATTTTTCAAAGGACAGCGTTCTACCGCCGTATTTCGAGAATGAACCGGAAATAGGATTCATGATGAAAGT